AACTCCCTCTCTCCCTCCCCCCCTTTCCCTTCCTCCTCCCTTTCCCCCCCAACACCCTCTCTCTTCCACCTTCCACCACCACCCATTCCCCCAATCCTGCCCCCCCCCCCCCAAGCTCCCAGAGTTATACAAAAGGCTCCCAGATGACTTGCAGAATTCACGGCAGAACGGCATGTGGCGGAAGTGCGGGTTGTGTGCGTGCGTGTGTAAGTGTGTGCGTGTGTGAAATGGTTCAGGTCCGCTTGGCATTCGGATCCTGTCGCTTAGGCATGGCGGAGGACGTGTGTGCGTGCAATCGTGTATGTGTTTATGTCTGCTGTGTATGTATATATACACATATGCATACGCGCATACACACACACACACACACACACACACACACACACACACACACACACACACACACACACACACACACACACACACACACACACACACACACGTACAAACAGATAACTCTTGGAGACTCTAGTATGGATACATGAAGACCATTGTATTGTAACCTTGTAACACGTAGACACGTTTGTCAAAAATGATCTTCTGGCCGTAGCGGCGGTTGCGGTAGCGGCCCCGAACACCCGCTGGTCGCAAGCCGAGCACCTGGATTGCCGGACAGGTGGCTCGCGAAAACGGGCTCTCGGGGAAAGCCGAGCGAAGTCGCTAGCCGGCATACCCGACTGCCCGGGAGAGAAACGTGCCAAGGGCAGACAGTTCGTACAGATGCAAGCCATGGATTGAGTTGACGTGAAAGAGATTTTTTTTATATTACGTATCCATTTGAAGAGTGAGTGGAAGACGCTATCGGCTGTAAAAGTAATACGTGACTGATACGAAAGACGTGTTTTGCAAACCGCATCGTTTCAGGTGCTTTTTCGATGACCGCACGAAGGTCAAAGGTCAGCCAAAGGACACGGTAATCTTGGTCTGGAGGAAAGTGCGCGAAGGGGTTGCTAGGTCGAGTCAACCCACTCACTGGGCGCTGAGTCGGTCCGAAACAGGCCAAACGGTGTTTTCGATCGCTTTCGTTGCATCGTTTAGTCTTGCCAGTTCGCTCGTTGGATCTTTTAGTCTTACTAATTCGCTCGTTTACACTTGCCAGTTAGCTCGTTGGGTCGTTTAGGTAGCTCGTTAGGTCGTTTGGCCTTGCCAGTTCGCTCGTTTGCTCGATTAAACTTAAATTAAACTGCCAGTTCGCTTGTTGCCTCGTTTAATGTTACCAGTTTGCTCGTTACATCGTTCCGTGTTGCCAGTTTGCTCGATGGGTCATTTATTCTTGTCAGTTCGCTTGTTGGCTTAGTTAAACTTAAATCAAACTGCCAGTTCGCTCGTTGCATCGTTTCGTGTTGCCAGTTCGCTCGTTGTGTGTGTGTGTATATATATATATACAAAATACAAGGATAACACGAGATTAAGAAATATCAGATGGATTAGCAAGGCAAAGGAAACTTTGAGGAAGTTATGCAGACCTGTTTTTTCTTATCTGCCCCCCTCAAAAAAAAAGATATATATATATATATATACATATATATAAATTCAAAACCAACAAACCAAGAAGACGTAGTACCAATATCATTTACGTCGCAGATTGGCATAACAGTGCCAGAGCCAGGAGTCTAGAGTGCCAGACGAAATTGATTGAGTCTGGCAAGAAAACAAAGAAAACGGGGGTGGGGGTGGCGGGGTTGTCAGGCTGCCTATTAAGTGCCCGAATATGGTTTCTTCGGAGGGGAAAGGGGGGGGGAAGGGGGGGGGGCAGAGGGAGGAAGGCGAGGAGGGGAAAGGGGGAGGGAAAGGATGGGGAATGGGAGGGGATTGGAGGAGGGAAAGGGTGGGTAGAGGAGAGAGAGAGAGGAGGGGGAAGGGGGGGGCAGAGGGAGGAGGGAGAGGAAGGAAAGGAGGGGAAAGGGGGAGGGAATGGGAGGGGATTGGAGGAGGGAAAGGGTGGGTAGAGGAGAGAGAGAGAGGAGGGGGAAGGGGGGGGGGGGCAGAGGGAGGAGGGAGAGGAGGGGAAGGGGGAGGGAAAGGATGGGGAATGGGAGGGGATTGGAGGAGGGAAAGGGTGGGTAGAGGAGAGAGAGAGGAAGGGTGAGAAGAGGGAGAGAGGGGATAATGCTTATTTATATGTTGGTCATGGACAGTCATGCACCGTACATGGAAACAAACACAGACACACACGCACACACACGCACACACACACACACACACACACACACACACACACACATATACACAGAAACACACACACATACACAGAAACACACACAGACACACACACACACACACACACACACACACACACACATACACACACACACACACACACACACGCGGTCTTAAAATCTACATTGTAATATTTCAAAGGTCACATAATTTATTAGACATTTATTCCATCCTTTATCATATTTTCTAATGTAAAAGTATTCCACATTTTTCTCAGCTCTTAGATGTGTTTTCTTGAATTTTGTTTTATTGTTATTGTTAAAGCTGCTGTTTCCATTAG